CAATGCTCCAATCTATCCAGATCCCTCAGCAACGCCCTTGTCCCTCAAAAGAATCCACAGCACCTACCAGTTTGGATTGTCTACACACCTGCTAATGATGCATTCACCTCCTGCATCTAGAGCACTGATAAATACACTGAACAGAACTGATCCTAGAATGGAGCCCTAAGCAACACCACTGGTGTGACTAGTCACCAGCCAGATGCAGCACCATTTACTATAACCTGTGGAGCTCAGTCCCTCAGCCAGTTCTTCACCCAGTGCACCATGAACCTGCTCATCCCACAGCTGAAAACCTTGTCCAGAAGGATGCTGTGAAGAACGGTATCAAAAGCCTTACTAAGATCCAGGGAAACAACATCCATCACCTTCACTTCATCCACGAGGTGGGTGACCTCACCATAGGGGGGTAGCAAATTAAATAGGACTTTCACTTTGTGAACTCATGTTGACTGTGCCTGATGATTGCATTGTTTTTTAAATGCCTTTCATTAATACCCAGTATAATCTTCTCCACAATTTTTCCAGTAACTGAGGTTACACTCATAGGTCTGTAACCTCCTTGGTCTTCCCTTACGCCCTTCCTGCAAATTGGAATAACACTGGCTAGCTTCCAGTCAGCAGGGACTTCCCCAGACTCCCAAGACCTTTGGTAGATGACAGAGATGGGTCCTGCCACAACATTCACTAGTTCCCTCAGTTCTATGGAATGAATCCCACCAGGACCTGTGATCTCATGAACATTCAGCTGATCCCTTACAATTTTAGTGTCCACAAATGGAAAGTCAGAGTTCCCACACTTGTGGACTTCTGACTCAGGGGACCAAGCACCCCAGCAATGCCTCTGGTTTTAATTCATCCCTGCAATTTAGACCTTCAATAAGTATGGATCCAATGTTTTCTTTAGACCTCCTCTTGCTAGGAATGTACTTTAAAAAGTCTTTCTTGTTGTCTGAACAACAGTGGCCAGTTTCAATTCTGAATGAGCTTTGGCCTTTTGTGTCTTCTCCCTGCTTATATGAATCACAGTTTTACAGTCTTCTGTGAAGCCTGACCTTGCTTCCAGAGATCATGTAATTTCCTCTTCCTCTTGAGCTGCAGGAGGAGTTCCCTGTTCAGCCAAGGTAATCTTCTGCCCCACATGCTTGACTTACAACACAATGGGATTATCTGCTCCTGTGTTTCTAAAAGGTGGTTCTTAAAGACAGACCAGCACTTCTGGATGCCTAGTCCCTCAAAAGCATACTCTGCTACACAGTTCACTCAGTTTGCTCTCCTGAAATCCAGGGTACAACTCTGCTATTCTTTTTCTCATTACACTGACAATTGTAAACTCAACCATATCATGATCATTGTGTCCAAGACAACCCCCTACCATTACAACTCCACAAGTCCTCCTATCTTCACAAACTGTGGGAGCTGATAGCTGGCCTGAAGGCCTCACAGACCTTGCACCTATCATCATGTACTCACGAGGAATTGTAACATCAGCAAAGAGGAAGGCAAGCCAAGAAAAGGAGAATGTTACAAGTGAAGACAGGATGTGAAAAACTCTGTGTATAAGTTATGGTTGACCAATAATGAGTTGTTTATGATGTATATTAGACAATAAAGATGGGACACGCTACGCAATAGAGAATATAAAAGAAGCTGAGCATTAGAAATAAACAATTTTGCCTTTTAACAGCCATAGGAGTAGGTGTCCTATGTCCGTCTCAACCGCAACAACAAGCAGCAAGTCCAGGAAGGCATCTTTCCTACTTGGCTCACTGACTACCTGTGACAAGAAGGTATCTCCTACAGACTTTGAGAATTTCCAAGATTGCTTGTCACTGTAGTATGTTATTTACAGTTGATGCCTGGGAAGTGGGAATCTTCCATAAGAAGTCTGTAAGAACAAGGGGTACTGATCCAGAAGTTTCTCCTACTTGCCTGTAGAATGACTCATGGGTGCTACTATCCTGGCTGAGCAATCAGTAGCAGACACTCACTACACATCATCTCTTTTGTTTCCCATCCTCTTATTCCTAGCTCAGAGGCTCTCAACCACATCACCACTAACTGTAAGGGCTCTATAATCAAATCTCTTCCTTATCTAGAGTGACAGATCCACCTGCCCTCCCAGTCCCTCCTGAACAGCCTGTAGCCCTCCATCCCAGTACTCCAATCATGGGACTCGTACCACCAAGCCTTGTTAATACCAGTGATATTATATCTCTGGGAACTGACCAATGCTTTCAGTTCATCCTGTTTGTTTCTCACACTGTGTTGGTGTACAAATATTTCAGATATGCTCCTAAGACCTCTGTGCTCCCAGAGCAGTGTAAACTGAAATCCTGTTGGTATCCCCTTGCCTCATACATTCTAGTTTACAGCTGTCTTGATCAGTCCCAGAAGCTTACTCCTCAAGACCCATTTTGCCAAATTTACCTTTGGTTGCTCCGACGAACATAATTATCACCATCAACAGGTTTGCGGTATGTTGTAAGTGCTTCATTAAGTTGTTCTTCAATCAGTTCAACATACTTTAAGTTATATTCCTATAAGAAGAGAGACAAAGGTTGACACAATACATTTAGTGGTTTCTGGTGTTACAATATTGTACTTTAGAAGAAAGAAATAATTAAAGTGCTCCTCAAGGAAGACTGGTTTTTTTATGATCTGAAGTTGGGGCTCACCACCACAATTAATGCGCTTCATACATGCAATGAATTTGCAGAGTCATCAGTTGATTCTACAATTATTTCAGTGAATTTGTTAAAAAAAGAAAATCTTCACATCTGACAAACTCAAGACCACCACCATGCATTTCTCTATACCTTGAGAAGTGACAATAAACTCGTAAAAAAAAATTGCCAACAGGAATGAGACCAATCACTTAGAATCAATTACGAAAATAAAGCAACATGTGACGAGTTTTATTCAAGTTATGACAATGCGGAATTTTTGTTATTAGTCTTGTGTTCTGCTTTACTTCCTAACAGGGTAAACTAATTCTAGGTTCATGAGCCCTACATTTAATTAGCAACAACCAGAGGCAACAGGTATCTTGAAAAGTAGCATTCCTTGGCACACCTCTCCAGATAACACCTTACAGAACAACCTATTTTACAAAGTCACTACACTCCTGAAATACTTGCTGAAGTATCAAAATTATATAGGGGCCTGAGTAAATCAAAAGCACACATGTACAGAGGAGCTATGGAACTGTAAGTCCCTGTCAAACTTTTTCAGAAAAAAACCCATTAATTTTGAGGCAATAAATGTATTGGTGTTAGCAATACAAGTACATTAATATGCAATATTTTTAAGAAACTCTGACCTTCTAAACCTACATATTCACACCATTCCTCCTCCTAATATCAAGCACACCTTTTCTTCTTAGCATTACCTTTTGCCACTTTTCCATCTGTTTAGTTACATAACCTCTTTCATTTAAATATGAAAACCCCTTTGGAATGGACAGAAATCTGCAAAATAACATCAGACAGTTAGAACTCCGCTTAAATCAAATCACAGAGCTTGAATAAAAAGGAACACTTAATTGTTTTCACAGTGTGAAGTCAAACAGAATATTCAACAATTACCTTAGGAGTAGAAGCAAACCCTTGTCTCCAAGATGAGAAAGAGCTGGTTTCATTTGGATAAGGGCATGAAGATTGGCCTAAAATAATTAAGAGTGCATAAAGAGTATCAAACAGCACTATACAATTCTGAAAACTGCAATAATTACAACAACCTGCTCGCAGCAGCGAGTTTTTCACATCATGAAGTTTCAAACAGCACCAACACTATCCTAATATTATCAATTTTTGGTACATTCTGTCATTAAATATATACCACTTCACAAAAAGTATAAAGATCAACACAGCTGAATTAGTCACAATTCATATTTAAAAACAGATGCAATCCAGAAGTCTACATTTTCTTGTCAGTAATACTGAAGTATTTTCATCAAAGGAGACTATGAACTATTACAAGTCCATCAATGACAATTAAGAATTGAAACCATCAGTGGCTTTTAGCATACTTTCACCTTTTACTTTGCTACTAGGGAAGGGGGTGGGGACCAGCTTAAGAGCAGCATAGCAAAAAGAGGTTAAGAAGGGAAAGGATGCTCACCTTGTCTTCACATGCCTCATCTAGAATATCAAGTGCCTCAGAAGAAATAGTTTTATTTTTATCATGTAACTGGGTCACCAGTAACTCAATCCCCCAGTTGCTGAAGAACTCTACATTAGCTCTCAGCAATACTCTCAAGTGTTTTGTTGCATACAACCTGCAGCTCTGCAAAGCAAGAGAAATGTTTTCTTAAATGGAAGAAAATAACTAATGCTGTTAATGATTTGTAACTTTTTAAAACACATCTCAATTACTATATTTTGCAGCAAGTAGCTGTGATGCACACCTTATAGAGTAAAATTACAGTTTATTGGAGAGCTATTTCTACCTTACCAAATGGGAAAACTGAGTCTGCGATCACAGGTAAATTAGTCACTGCAAGCCTCCTTGGAAAGTCTTTATGTGAGATCATCATAGAAAGTCATCAGAATTAGCAGCAAATATACCTTGCAAATGGCCAGTGCAATTGCATGTACTTTCAAATTTGCCATCTTTTTGCAGAAGACTTTAACAAGCCAATACTAGAATCTCAGAACTTATTTTAATAAATTGTAAATTGTTTCCTGAAAGTACACGATCTTCAAAACTTATCAGAAAATCTTCACCATTATTATTTTCTGTAATAGGGCAGTTTACCAACACTTTTTTGATTTTCTCCAAGTAACAGCAGAATGAAGCAAGTATCTTGTGAGTTTCTGTGCTGCTGTTCAAAGCTTACTGAACAAGCATAAACTGATCAATTCATTTGTTTAGTGTGGGAAAAAAAATAAGGGTGACGACCAGAGAGGGGAAACCCAGCATTGCTCTTCCAGATGAAGAAAATGGTCGAAAGCTTTTACTTTTG